ATCTCCTCATCCCTCCCTCTTTCGTCTTTCTTTTTTCTTCTTCTTGACTCAATCGATTATCCCTTTATTCAGTCATCGACTCGTCTGCCGCTAGCGTCACCACAACCCCAATTTTCCCTAGGCTGTCGGGTGCTCGCTCGATGACAGCAGCAGGTCGCGTAGCACGTGCACTTCGGCTCTTTCTTCTATTTATCGAAGACGATTCCAGCGACCCCGTGATTGAGACGTCGTCACCTTTGGGCGCTTTCAGACGCGATGCCGCTGAGTCATAGACGAGATGGAAATTGGCGAAGATGTCGTTGAAAGCGATGACCCAACTGGAAAAAAAATAAATGACAAAACGGACCAGGTCGACAATTATAAAAAAAAGAAGTCAAAGTTTGACAATGAGCGTCAAAATCTTATTTACGACGGACATTAGATTAATTTCAATATATGCTGCGTTTCTATTTATATAACATTTATCCAACCACATTTATCAGATTGAAAAAAAAAATGAATGACAAAATCGACCAAGTCGGCAATTATAAGAAAAATAGGTCAAGACTTAATAACGAGCGCCAAATTTTTATGCAAGATGGGCATTAGAATCATTTCAGTATATGTTGCTTTCATAGTCTGTATAGTTTCAATATATGTTGCGTTTTTATTTATATAACATTTATCCACCCCGTCGCTGTCAATTTCTACCCAAACATCACCACCATCTCTTCCTCCCTTCTCTCGCCCCAGCCAAACTCGTCGGCTGCAAGAAGGGCGAGCAAACCGCCAGCCTGGATCGGCTCGTCCTACTTCCACCAGATCACAACGTACACTCAGCCCCTCTACCAACCTCTCCAACGATCTCTTCGACAATGACCTGGAGTCCGCCATCCACTCCTACCGCCATCATATGCTCAAATTACAAAAGATAGGTGTTGTTGTCAAAAGAGACAGACAAGAAGTGGATACAAGGTAGAAAGAGATGTATAAAGAGGGGTCTATTAGGAAGGCTTGTAAGAACCAAAAGAATGCTTTGAATCAAGTAGGGGTAGCCAGGCTTGAGTTGCCCCAACCTGACCAATGAAGACAATTTTGTGGAACCGTAGAGGTTTGGGAGGACCCTCTACAGTTGTGGAACCGTAGAGGTTTGGAAGGACCCTCTACAGTTGCCCAGATAAAGGAGTCCATTAGGGCCCACCTCACTCTATCATCTTTCTACTTCCTTTTCAGCCGACTATCTTGACTGTGTTGTCTCTTCCAGGTAGTAGGATTTTTCTTCCCTGATGGTGGCCCTTTATCTGTAATCAATTGCTGATAGCTTCGGCCTTCTCTTCTTCCATCTAGCTCCATAGTGACTTCCTGACTCGGATGAAGATCCACCATAGATTCCTCCAAAATAGCTTCCCCTTGGAGTAACAGGGTGGGAATGCCTAATAATAGCTTTGAAAGATCTTGATTATTAATGGTTTGATCTTGTGGCCCTGAAGGTTGAGAAGATCTTCTTACAGATGTACCTTTGGTAGATTCTGGTAGTAGTTCCTCTCTTTGCATATCCCCTAGTATTGGCATTCCTTGAGGAAGAAGGAGTGATCTGGTGATAAGCAGGGTTGTTACCATTTGAATGATTTGAAGGATTTGAGTTCTGAGATGAGTTGGTATTCCTGCTTGGTTAGGAGCTTTCTGAGGCCTTCATTCAATCACCAAATTGTCCCTCTACTACCTAACCATTTTCATTATCAGTCACCCTCTTCCCACTGAGTCTTTTTAAGTGTCCTACAATGCCACTGTAGAAGCAGAAGTTTACAAGCTTCTCATACTGAAAGGTAACTCCCAACTTAGGGTTTAGAAGCTTGATAGTATCACATCGAGGCAGAGGCTCAAATATATCAATAGAGACTAGGAGCCGGATGAAGCTCCATTACACTCCCCCTGTCTTAACTATCACTACATTCTTCACTTTCTTGAACAATTTTCCAATTTTAAACCCACCTCAGTGGTGAGCCAGATTAAGGGGATTTTAGTATCGGAACCCACAAATTGATTTCTTTGAAACAACTACTCCTCTCTGTTAAGCCTTCTTCCCACTCATTGAAGAACCATGTATTGACTTTCGAACACCCAGTTAATTCCAGCAGTTACTTTGTCTTTATCTTCTGAATTACTGAATATGAACTGCAAAAAGTTTGGCCCTAATTCCTTGACCTCAATAGGTTGAGCTGTTTGCCAAACTAAACTCATCGTCCTTTGACCCCAAATTAGTTTTCCTTTCTATCTCCTACAATCTTTCCTAGGAGGCTGCTTCGACATTCCTCTTCTATGGCCACCACATCTTCTTCATCCAATTCAATGACACTATTTTCCTTTGAGGAGAGTGTAATGTTTTTCAGACCGGCTCCCAATTCCTCATCTAACCCCTTGGAAGTCGATGTCTCAGTCGTTGGATGGGCAATCAATGACTGCTCCTCTAAGCCCCAAAACAGAAACCTAAAAACTGAGCCTCAACTTTATTAGTAACAAATAGAAACACCAACAAAGAAGGGGAAGACATCTTCTTAAATGAAACTAGAGCAATACTCTCTGACGAGACAATGCTTATTGAGTTGGGTATTGTAAAGAGAAATCCAGACTTGCAGTTTCTTTTTCTTTTTTTTTTTTTTAAANTTCTGTAATGGAGGCGTGACCAGCTAAAATTTTGAATTGGTGAGTTTAAAAATTCCTTTTTCCTGTATTTTTTTCCCTGTACATAGTGTTTGGTTGGGAGGGAAATGAAGGATTTATTGCACGAAATCCCCCTGTATTATATGAAATCTGCGCGTTTTTTCCTGGTATTTTAAAAATTGCGTCAAACACTGTATTATATGAAATCTGCGCGTTTTTTTCCTGGTATTTTAAAAATTGCGTCAAACACCCTTGTATTAAGTAATTGTTGCACGATACCCCCCTCTCCGTCCAACTTGACGGCGCACCCTTGTATTAAGTAATTGTTGCACGATACCCCCTCTCCGTCCAACTTGACGGCGCGTGTAACACACATACATGTACTGCAATAATTATTTATTTTTTTCATTTATTTTTATTTTAAAATTGAAATTTACTATTTTGCCCCTTGTTTTTCTACCAATTGATGGACAAAATGTGATTCGAACCTGGGCCAAAACATTAATAGACAAGACTTCAAACCACTTGGCCACCATCATTCAATGATACATATTTAACACAGATTCATTTAAACAACACGAACAGTGGAAAACTTAATCAAACAAAAATTAAAAATTAAAATAAACACTAAATAATGTAATATAAGAAAATATAATAAAAATTAAATTGAATAAAATTTAATGTAAAATTTGAAAATAATATATAATTATACTACTATTTAATATAAAAACAAAAAGATAAATTCATATAAAAAATTAAAAAATATAAATATGAAATAAATTATAAAATTAAATTTAAATATACATTTTTATATTGAATTATATTAATAAAAATAAATAAAATAAAATAAAATGGGAAAAAGTGTGCATTTTATATATTTATTAGCGTATTTTTATATGCTTAATTTTATCGCACTTATATGTTTTTAGACTTATTTATTATTTAGATGGATTCATTTGCTTTGATTATTTTATATTTATTTTCAACTTATTGGAGTATTTTCTGGACACGAAGCATTGTACGATCAATTACTGTCGCATATCGGTCAAAGTTTAAGCCCACTTGTTAAACGATTAAACCAAAAGTGACATGCATGACTCATCAATTGGGCTGCCCATTCACACCACTTTCTATATTAATTTGAGAGGATTTTGAATTGAGAAATAGGCCCAGCATATTCTCTTAGAGGGCCCACTTGGGTTATATTAAGTGACCCATCACAATTTGAGGAGAGTTACGCAGCCTGGGTGGGTGGAGAATTATTTATAATTTAGAATCTATTTATTCATTATTTTAAAATTTATTTATTTAATTATTATATTATTTAGAATTTATAATATATTTTATTAATTATTATATCATTTATATTTTAGAATATATTTACCGAATCAATATATTATTTATTATATTTATTTAATAATTATATTATTTTGAATTTATAGTCTATTTATTCAATCATTATATTATTTATAATTTAAAATATATTTATTTCATCGTTGTATTATTTATATATATAACGAATTATTATATTATTTTAATTTAGAATATATTTATTTAATTATTATATTATTTATAAATTAGAAAATATTTACTTAATTATTGCATTATTTATAATTTATAATCTATATACTTAATGGTTATATTATTTATAACTTAGAGTCTATATACTTAATTATTACATTATATAGAATCTATATAATTAATTATTATATTATTCATAATTTAGAATCTATATAATTAATTATAATGAAATTTATAATTTAGAATCTATATATCTAATTATATGATATTTCCGCTATACTGTGTGATATATATAGATTACATTTATAACTAAGTGAATAGTAGCCCAATTGGTAAGAGTTGTCTTTTACAACCTAAAGGTGGTGGGTTCAATCCCCACCATTGGCATTTTTCTTTTAGGTCAATATAATAACATTAAGGGTAAAATAGTAAATTCAATGTTAAAGTAAGGGTATAAAGGTAAATTCAATGAAAAAGTAACGCCGTCAGCTTTAAAGTAACGGCGTTAACTGGAAATAGCGAGTGTGCATGCAAATATGAAATACGAGG